TACTTCGACATTTTAAGGAATTATAATTTTGATGTTATTACTATATTTATGTAGCTTATTTAGATTTTTAATGAATCTATATCTCTTTGTCTGACTGATTTATAGAACTTCAGTAAAAATATGAGTACTGGGTGTCGCAGTATTCCGTGGACATAGACCCATACAGCACATCAAATCACATTTACGATGTGTTTACATTATTAGATGTAGACACAGGTACTACGGTAATAGACACATTCCCCGATGTAAATATGATACGTTTACACATTGTAGTTCAACACGTATGCACAAAGGTTAAACGTCCGCCTCACAATGTAGCCACAGTATAGCATTTACGTATACACAAAGTAAGGGATACACAGTGTGCCGTAGGATACACAGTGCTTGTGTATTACGTTTAAACTCTGTTTACACATTGCAGTTGTGACTACTGCGTGTATACGTATGTATTTTGCTTCCTATATATACATCTTGTGCTAGATAAAACTACTTCTTATGAACGAATTTAGGAAATAATACAAGTTTTGATGCCTAACTTTTCGTTCTTTTTAAGAAATATTTATTCAATGATACCAATTATATCTTTTTAGAACGAAAATTAGGAAGGCAAAACTTTGTATTTTCCAAAAGTATCTCGATCGTACGTTCAAGAGAAGTAGCCTTAAAATTGTTCCATTTTTATTTTGTATTAAATGTACCATTTTTTTTCATAAAATGGATTAAGTGGTTAAAAATAAAATTCTTATATTTCTTTAGTATGTTTAATAAAATTAGGCCAAATTCTATTGAAATATTTCGGTTGCAAAAAAGGGTAATTAGAATATTATGTGGTGTTGGCTATCGAGATACATGTAAGCCCCACTTTATTAGACTGAATATACTTACACTGCCTGCTATGTATATATTAAACTAACTTTTGGAAGTACATAAAACTAAATCTTATCTGACAGTTAACTCTGACTGTCATAATTATGGAACAAGATCTGCCAATCTAATATGAACCAATTTCTATATGCTGGATAAATCAGCTAGAAACTCTCTACGCATTGATTTATACAACCGTCTTCCAATGGAATTAAAAACTCTATGTTTTAATAAATTTAAATATCAGCTTAAGACATTTTTAGGGAAATCTGGAATTTATAGCGTGGATGAGTTTATAGAGCAGGTAGGTGGGAACTTAGATTTAATTTGATTTATTTGTACAAAAATTCTTAAATTGTTGTTTGTCTTGTATGTATTTAATGTAACACACTTTGCCTCCGTGTATTATTTTTTTTCTAATTTTTAGTATTTTTATGAATTCTTAACTGTTTGTTATTTATTCTGACCTGCTACAATTATACATTGTATGTATTACGTAGTCAATAAAGATTTATTTATTTATTTATTTATTTATATCATGGAACGCAATAGCGCAAATAACACAATAATAATAATTATTTACACTGCAGAAACCAGAAGTAAGAAAACACTATAAAAGAACAGAATTTGTATCAAAATGTATTAAAAATATAAGTATCTAGTATAACAACATACTAAAATGGTAAACACTGGTATATCGCCACGATTTGGTGGACCTCGTTTAGTCATTTTTTTCTCTTCTTCTCCCTCCAAGCAGTTGGTTTGTTAGCATAGTTATTCATCGAGATTAACAATCTCAGATTGACAATCTCACCCTTAAATTTTATATGAAACTGATTATTGAATATTAAACATACCTGTATATTGATCCATCAATAACTTACCGAATATCAGTGTAAGAAGTTCTTTGAAGTGTTTAAATATTTCATTCTCTGGTCCATTTAGATTTTTATTATTTCCAAATTAAAAAAAAATTATATTGCAGAGCTAACTTCTTTATACGAGAATATTTGGAGTTTTCATTCATTGGAGTCAAAATTTGGTAAATTGGGTATCGAGTAAGGGAAGAGTCGCTGCTGTAATATTAATAATACTCTTAGGAAGGTGTAACAAGGTAACTAAAAATTTGTGCTTACCTTAAAATCTCTTTTAAACTACATACAAACAGAACATTTATATAGAGCTTCCGAATGATAAAACAATAATGGCTGCTAACACATACCACTCCTAGAAAGGAGAAAGGAGAGAGAACACATAAGATACACTTGGTCGGTGTATCTACGCTGAGGCTATCCGCGCGTGCGCACACCTTTATTTCATGCTAGAATGTAGACACAACAGTACACTATTACAAAGTGTCTATATAGAAATTTATATTATGTGTATACGTCACATTTTTACAAGGTGTGTACTATAGGCACAACTATGATACGAAGTATCACACATACATATGACATATACATTGTATGTCTCATATACCGACGTCAGATATCATCATTTTTATAATTATATAAACTCTTTAGAACCTTGAGTGCGTACGGTATACAACTAGTAAACACTGTATGACACAATTCTATCAATATAAACCTGCGTGTATCTCATATGTATATGTTAGAACTAGATGAACACTTAGGTTCACTTTAACATATTTGGTTTCTCATGTGTCTCCCTTGTAGAAACGTAATTTCATTTGGACGTGCTGTATGGGGAACTACTACGTATTAGTTATGTTAAAGGGTTTAAGAAGAATTGGGTTTTGCAAATACTATGAGCTTTAGTATGGGGCTAGTGGGAGTAACGATGCTGCTGTAATTGTTGAAACCTTAACGGAAACTCCATCTGACCATCTGACCATCTCTAACTGACCAAATTGGTCATCAAAATTGACAAATTATCAACAAAAAAACTGATTCATTTTTTGTCTACGTTTATCTATATTTTTCTATATAAATCATTTTTAAATGCATTTACTACAAAAATATATTACCGTTTATATAAAATTCCATTTTAATATTGCCTTTTAGCATTTTAATGAACTCGAAAATAAATTGGTCCAATACGAAAACAATTTTAATTCATTCGGCGTGATTTTAGTGCGCGAAACGTTAACTTACAAATAATAATCGGAAAACATTATTATTATTTATTTTTAATATTACGCCCCTAGCAGGAAAATTAAACAGGCCGGCTGATGTACGCTTTTTTACAAATTATCGTGGATATTGTCGTTACAGCACGAGCATATGCGTTCGTTATTGTAATCGATTGTAATGCATTAGTATTTGCCGGGGATAATTAATTTAATAAAATCTAATAATACAGCTCCGCACTGCAAACAATGGCGGATTTGATTGAAGTTCGTTTTGGGACCGTGCCAGTAGACGGGGCATATTAATTTGTATAATTCAGATTTGGAGTAATATCGAAAAATGTTGGAATTAATTCTTAAAATAAATAAATATTTTCGTTTTAATATAGAATGTTTGGCAGGGGCGTTAATCACCGGGACCTTACAGATCCTTTGTGTCCATCTCTTGAGTTATAACGAGTTTATCTTGAGTTATGATGAGTTATAACGAGTTATAATTCATCATCCAGTATGTAGGCTTTGACAAAGACGGTTTCACAGAGGCTACTTCTCCATCTTTCGATTTCGAGATGTTGATTTTTGAATTCAGTTCTAATTGCGCAATCATTGTCGAACACTAACTCAATTCCACTTATTTTTACCAAAAATGCAAGTGTTTCTAACTTGCACTTAAAAATGTTTAAGCTATAGAGAAAATTACAACGACTCGTTAATAAATAAACAAATAAAATATCACGAGACGTAAATTCCTTCCACGTCTCTTAGCAATGTGTACAGTTTCTCGGTTTATTTCATACGTTTGGCAACGTATTTGCTGTTCTTTCTTTGTTCAGTACATTATAAACGCATTGTACTCTTCTTACATACAGAAATCTCGACCTAAGCCTAACCTTTGCCAGCCCTTAGTATACCAGACTTAAATAAATAAATAATAACTTTATTACAGTTGAGGGTTGGAACCTTTGGTGTTACACAGCAAAATAAAAACACTAAATCACCACAATACACCAAAACACTTTTACTTTTACACTGGACGCGCGTTTCGCTAACCATGTTAGCATCATCAGCAGATGATTATAAACTCAGTTGATAATCTGAGTTTATAATCTGTTCATAAACTGAGTTTATAATCATCTGCTGATGATGCTAACATGGTTAGCGAAACGCGCGTCCAGTGTAAAAGTAAAAGTGTTTTGGTGTATTGTGGTGATTTAGTGTTTTTATTTTGCAATAACTTTATTGCCTGACAGGATTACAGGATCCCAATTAATTGACAATTATAACTAATAAACAATTCATAGTAAATATTTTAAACAAAAAAAATAGTGAGAAAAACTATTCGTTTTAAACAAATTACCAAGTAACATATTAAAACAAACGCCAAAAACCAGATGATTGAATCTTGTAATGGTGGCAGCAGTTTAACTAAGGAGCTGTATAGACTTGGTGAAGTAACTGTGAATCTCCCCCCTTATTTTACCTTATTAAGCGTACATTAATAATGAGGGAAATGTCGTTATTTGTAGATATTGAAAATAGTTTTTACTTTGTTGCGGCTTGGCAGGTTATTATGGCTCCTGTGATGCCGATGCATGATCTCTGCATTTTGCACAGGTTTGACCTTGCTGTAGGCCACATAATACTGGAGACTTGGTAGAAGAACGATGTCGTTATTGTGAGAGATTAACTTAAACTGGAGTGGGTTAAGAAACTTTAGATTGAAAATTTGTAAAAACCGATTACTAATCAAACCGAAATACCCCAGCATGACACACCAAACTTTTCATACGATTTCCCGATTAGCTGGTCCGAATCTCTCCACTATCCCACCCCCAAAAGGCCAGTGCGTGTCGTCTTGCCGGCGTCGTCGTCGCTCTCCCCACCACCCTTCACCCCCGGCTTACGTAATTAGGCGCCCCGGCGCCGCCGGCGGGGGCCCGGCGCCCGCGCATCTCCCCCTCCCCCCGCGGGCGTCGTTTCCCCCCTGCGGCGTCCCCCCGACGCCGCTGGTTGGAGCGCGTCGCCGTCAGTCCCTCGCTATCGCCTGACCGCTTAGCTTGCCCGCCGATAAGCTTTCTCAGAATCGTTGTGTCTGCGTTTCGAGGCGCGCACTTGGTAATTGTAATAATAATAATATTGTTACAAAAAACGTATTATTGTACACTTTTTCTCTCAGAAATCAGGAAAGTAACGATCAGTTTTAAGCTTGAAGATCGCAAGATTAAGAAAAGTGATTGCTTTTTCCGTTCTCTCTGTTTTCGAAGAAGTACTTTCGAGCGTATACCGGCTTTCGAGTATTGTTTCTTTTTGGTGCGAAGTTCTTGTGCAAACTGTTGCTTTCTTCGGATTGTGACTTTTGATCATCGGCTTTTTGGATCTACTGGAACGACCAGCTGTTTATACAATTTCATGTGAGTCTCACAATATTAATAATATTAATATTTAGATTAAATTGTCGCTGCCAGATCCATTGTGATCCTCTTCTGATCCATAAGTTACATCCTCCAGTCCTATCCTTTTCATCTTTAGCAACTTGAAGTTTGAACCCTCCATATAGCTCTTTGTCAATGGTCAATATTACTGCCTCGTACAAAGAACCGCACATTTGCCAGGCTGTCTCACTGATATAAAGGTGTTCTGGCGTTTCTTCTTCAGATTGGCAAAAATCTGCACTTGGCTTTGACCATACATCGCATCAGCATTAGATGTCTATTAAGCTTACAATGTCCAGTTGGTAGACCCAGTGCAATTTTGATATTATTAATATATTTTTATCACATATTATTGAGAGTGAGAATAATTTGTTACAGGACTGTTATTATCTCTTACTCTCTCAAAAATCAGTAATCAGTAAAATCAAGTAATGGTTCTTCAGCATAGAAGACCGCAGATACCGAATATTACTATGCTGCAGAAGACCGCTTTAAGACCCCAGGAAATAAAATTGTTTTTTCCATTTTCTCTGTTTTTGAACGAAGTACTTTTGAGCATACCGGCTTTCGAGTATTTATTTCTTTTTGGTGCGAAGTTCTTGTAGAAACTGTTGTTTCTCCGGATTCTAACTTTTAATCATCGACTTTTGGATCTACTGTGAGTTTGTCATGATGAATTAGTTGGTTTGTTAGTCATGTGTTAACGTCAGGTCTAAAACAGGCAACGGCGACGATGAGATCATATTTGAAGCATGGAAAAAATATATCTACAAAGCAGCACAAAAATTTCAGCAACAAGAACAGCTTTTCAAATAGCTCATTTCTAAGAAATAAGCGAAATATAATAAGTGAATTTAGAAGAAAGAGTTAAAAAACAAGATCCACATGAAACCGATGATGAAACCAAAGATGAAGAAATCGGTGGAAATAAAGAGGATACACATCTTGAAGACCAAATTAACATATATACATAAGAACATAGGTTTTGTTAGCATAAGTTTCTTGAAACCGCTTAGTAAAAATTAATAATTATAATAGAGCTGCCGTATATAGCGTTTAACGCCTTGGGAGTAGCAAGGTACAGCTTGCCATGCTAGAGCCGTTCGGCATACAAGGAAGGTAATGTGGCTAGCACTACGCTTCAACCGCCTATTATTACCTCAGGATTGTCAATCCCAAGTACTAATTTAAGGTTGAGTCGACCTAGGTACCCAAACTATTTTTATTTTAATAAAAATAGTCGGCTAATGAAATGCCGGGTGTAGGATTCGAACCCACAACCTTGAGATTGGTAGACGAGAGCCTACCTCTACGTGACAAAATGATTCTTTGTTAATATAGAAGCAAAAGTGATGCTGACACTGATGATGGCAAATTTTTCGTTTTTTCCATACATATGAAGTCATGAAAATTGGCGATTTTTGATATGTCACCGATTTTGTTAAAACTGCTATTATTTGGTAATTGAAGGACGCAGAATATGAAAATATACACCGTTGTGGCCTTACCCGTACGGCATTAAATGTAGGTATAGTCATAACCATATTCAAATAGAGCTCATAAACAACGGTTCAGAAAAGTGATTTTATCACAAAACAAAAATAGTCAAGCCCTTACCCGTACGGCATTAAATGTAGGTATAGTCATAACCATCTTCAAATAGAGCTCATAAACAACGGTTCAGAAAAGTGATTTTATCACAAAACAAAAATAGTCAAGCCCTAATATTTTAATGTGTTTTAAAAGTACCTAAAGGAAAATTAAAATAACTTTTGATGCACACCATAATACGACCACCAGCAAACTCCATAAGACGACGCATGGTGTCATTGATGACGTGCATAAAATTTCCTACAAATACTGAAATTTTCAAATTTTTTTGGCCAGGTTTACAATTTTGCTAATATTTTAATGTGTTTATAAAAGTACATAAAATTCCCTACAAATAGTAAAATTTTCAAAGTACAATATAATTCTGATGTAAACACAAATATGTCACATAACCATTTTTCCCAGGAATTAAAAATCTTACACCTATAAGCATACAATAAAATTACCCATTCAAAAACAACAAACTAAACAGTCGCTTTTTACGATTTATTTCTCTTTTCCTGCACTCAAAACAGACCTTATAGTTAAAGTAATTGAAGTTTTGAAGCAGTTATTAAATATAAACGATAAACAAGGCATCTAATAAGCCTTATTTGAGGTAGTAAAACAAACGGAAAATACATTGTGTGCTCGCTTGCTCTCTCCGTTCGTTCTTGCAGCAAAGTGCAGAAATTGCTTTGTTTTCATTGTTATTCTTGGAAAATCGGCGAATTCGTTTTGCAGAAATGCGCTTTTGACTGCATTCATTCCACAGTTGATGTAATGGTATTTTTAAATTAAGCTTTATTTTGAGAAATAACATTCAAAACGTCTTTGCTGTAGAATGAATGGAAACAAGAAATACTAGAGAGTTTTCGCTCGCAATACTCGCTTAAGTCGACTAGCTGTCTAATGAACACTGTGTGGTTTTACAGTGTGAGACTTTTAGGTACTAGTATTAATTTATATACATTTATCTCTTAATCTTAAATACCTACTTCTTTTGCCATATAAGTAACATCTGTTTCGAAAACATATAAACCAAACTAAAATAGAAAAATTACTTTTCTGTAATCTATTCTGACATTACATATTAGTTAAATTGTTCTTTTTGACGATTATTAATGTTATGGCCATCAGTTCCAAGCTCCGAACATTATTTTATGATTTATGTAAACAAGGAGGCGTCTTATTAGTAAAAACCAGTAAAAACCGTGTGATATATAGAGTTTTTTAATGCTTATTTAATTTTAATATTTTTTTCTTCCCACGGATTCAAAAAAATGTCTATTTAGTAATGTGTAAAAATGTCTATATCTCTGTGGAGGATTCATCTCTTAAAAAAAGACCTATGGTACACCACTTGTACTGTAAGAAAATCTACAAAATAAAATAATCATTTTTTTTGTAAACAGTGCTGCGTCAATTCATAAGAGACCAATTGGTCAGCAGTGATTTACTAATAAACCAATTCGTAATAGACACAATTTTGTAATAACAGACTTGAAAAAGGAACTAAATTAAAAACTAAAAAAAAGCAAACTTAAAACCAAACCAAACTTAAATTTCAAAATTTACAATTAAAGTAATTAATTAAATTAAATACCCTAAAAATAATTTAATTAAATACCTCTGTAAACTTTCTGTATATGATTATTTTTTATTTGTTTTTAATTTTTACTTAGGTAGGTATGTTTATTTTATATTATGCTCAATTTTATATTATGCTCAAAGAAGCGATAGCCAAACATTACTAACCTCTATAGATGCATGAGCAATACATTTATTTATACCGTATGATCGAAAAAAAATGGCGTCCAGTTGGCTTGGAAATGAACATCAATGACATTCTCCATATAATTTTGTCTTTGACTTTGTATTAGGCTGTATTAAAAAAGCTTCTTTTATTTCTCGTTTAGAGGCTATCACTTTTTTTCATAATAATTTTTGCGTTGTTACAATCTACCTACTCTGCCCTATGTCCTATGCATTTTATTTAAATTGTGTTAATATTGTTATTATTCTTAGTACAAAACTTTTCTTTCTATAGTTATTATTTTTTAAAGAACATGTTTAATAACCTTGCAGTCTGGTTATAAGAGTTTTCTATCATACTATTAAGTATTTATTTTCTTTTAATATTAGTATTAATCTAAATTTATTAATTCTTGTACATTAATTCTACTAAGAAAGATGTTTATTGGTTAGTGCAGGATTTAAATCATAATACAGTTATGATAAGCGTCACTGCCTTCATTGTTTCACTGTTTAGGTTGCAAATTAACAACTCACACATAACTGACGGTATTTGTCACAAATAATTGCATTGTAATAAATAATCAACACATTCCAACAAAAAAACAAAGAGTTTCCTTGATTGTTTCAGAAAAATTTGTCATTAAGCATTCATTTAATAGGACTATTACCAACAGCCTATTATTGCTATTCTGTTTATCTTATCCAGTGTAATTGTAAATATTTTTCTTCTAGGCTTGTTAAATAGCCGTAATAGATAAATATTTGTGTGAATCCAGTAATAATAACAGAATGAATAATAGTTTTATTTGGAAGCATTACTTTAACTGGCACGAAGTTTTAGTCACGGTTTAAAATTACATTTTTTATTAAATAAATTCTAGAAAATATGTGCTTATGTGATTTTTATAATAGTACGATAATACCCATTCATATAAAATAAGTGACGATAATGCTTTCAGGGCACTATTATTAGGGATTCTTCTATTTTTCGTTTCTGATGCGAATTTCAAAATATTTTGAATGTAAAGCAGAGTTTACACTGTGTCACTTTGGATGTACAACCAAAATGAATCACTCAGACTGAATTCATCCAAATTGAATATCCTTGTTTACATATTTTCATCCAGTTCGCAGCAGTTCACTGTTTCACCTTCCGCAGGCTGCCACCTCTCCAAGTGTTTTCTATATCAACGGTTCGTTGAACGCTTCTTGCAACAAAAGTAGGAAGACCGTCAACTTGTTTGAACAGTGATGAAAGGCAATTTATACTTATCACTTTGGATGATTCATCCAAGTTGTACATCCAAAGTGACAAATGTAAATGAGCCCCTACATTTATCACTTTGGGTGATTCCTCCAAGATCGTCATTAAAAACGACAAATTGAATGAGCCTTAAGATCTCTTCCTCGTGACAAAAAATGTGTCGGTCTAATAAAAATGGAGATAAATCATTTTTCTTTGTGCTATTTTTATGCAATTCTTTGAAATTCGATATAAAAGCGGATATGTGCGGAAAACCACACAGATAACGCGATTAGCGACAGACTTTTTGTGTGTTGGCAAGTTTCTGTTTCCACTTTTATTAGAATTATCACGAATTATGTTTGGTCTGATGAACCGCGAACTTGCA